CTTATCTCTGCATCTAACCCTGTGCTGTCCCTGTCCTGGGAGTGTTTGATGGGGACAGTGTAGAGAGAACTTTACTTTCAGTTTAAAAGCGTGAAGAGAGTTTTGCTCTGTATCAAACTCCATGGTGCAGTTGTCCTGGAAAAATCTTTTGTCATTTAGGAGAATGGTTCATTGTTGAGAAGATTGCAGTTATTTAAAAATAAACAATAATTGAAAGGCTTAAGTCAATAATAGGTTGTGTTGGAATAAAACCTGCATGAAGTCAAACAGACGTGAATCTATGAAGTGACATGAAAACTGATTCAGAGTGTGTTACTCTCGGATCTTTCTCAGCTTAGTTCATAACAGACTCTGGTGGCTCTACCCTCGCAGTCTTTCCCGAGGGTCCCTAGTGTACCCTGATCTTTCTGGTGACTCTAAGTCACCATACCTTGAAACTTTAAGTTGTCTGGCTTGGGCTTTCCTCGTTCTACCCTGTAGCATGAATTCTCAGCAATTTCCGCTGGTGTGGTACTTAGCTGCTTTTTTTTCTGGCATTGAGATCCTGGAGAATGGAAATAAAACATTAAAAGTCTTATTTTCTAGTGTGTTTGTGATCTCAGTTCTTTGCTGCCTTTGTAACTATGCTGTTTGCAGGAGTTATTACAAATATAGAAACACAATATTGCTTCCTCCAAAGAGCTTCTTGTCAAGGCTCTGCACAACTTGAGATTAACTTTGTAACCCAGACTGTTTTAACTTTGTCTCTGCTCACAGGCAGTTAATCATTTGGATACTTGGATTGCTAAGGCTCTGATTCTTTTCGGTTTCTGCTCTCTCACTGTTACTAAAATGTTCACTAAGTTTCAAAGTGATGATATCACATTTTCCCGCATCAAACTTCATTTTCGTAGTTTTGTGGATCTCTCCATCTTTCCTCATTATTGTGTCATTATTCCCCATTGGAACCTCCTCATTTTATGTCATAGAGTCATACAGTCATATATGGAAACAGACCCTTTGGCCCAACCAGTCCCTGCCAAACATAATCCCAAACTAAACCAGTCCCACCTGCCTGCTCCTGGCCCATATCCCTCCAAATCTTCCTATCCATGTACCTGTCCAAATGTCTTTTAAATGTTGTAACTGTACCCCCATTCACCACATCCTCCGGAAGTTCATTCCACCACACAAATTACCTCTGTGTAAAAATGTGCCCCTCATGTCTTTTTAAATTTCTCTCCCGTCACCTTGAAAATGTGCCCCCTAGACTTGAAATCCCACATCCGAGGGAAAAGACACCCACAATTAACCGTATCTATACCCCTCACTATTTTATAAACTTCTGTCAGGTCGCCTCTCAGCCCCCTACGCTCCAGTGAAAGAAGTTCCAGCTTATTCAGCCTTTCTTTATAACTCAAACCTTCCATACCTGGCAACATGCTGGTAAAAAAACAAAAACAAAGTTTCTGACCCCACCACCAAAGACATTTTTCCCTCCCCACCCTTATCTGCTTTCTGGAGGGACTACTCTCTCTGTGACTCCCTTGTCCGCTCCACACTCCCCTCCAGCCCCACCGCACCCGGCACTTTTCCCTGCCATTGCAGGAAGTGCTACACCTGCTCCTACACCTCCCCTCTCACCCCCAACCCAGGCCCCAAGAAAACCTTCCACATTAAACAGATGTTCACCTGCACATCTGCTAATGTGGTATACTGTATCCGCTGTTCCTGTTGTGGCCTCCTCTACATCAGGGAAACCAAGCGGAGGCTTGGGGACGGCTTTGCAGAACACCTACGCTCAGTTCGCACTAAACAACTGCACCTCCCAGTCGCAAACCATTTCAACTCCCCCTCCCACTCCTTGGACAACATGTCCGTCCTAGGCCTCCTGCAGTGCCACAACGATGCCACCTGAAGGTTGCAGGAACAGCATCTCATATTCCGCTTGGGAACCCTGCAGCCCAATGGTATCAATGTAGACTTCACAAGCTTCAAAATCTCCCCTCCCCCGACCGCATCCCAAAACCAGCCCAGCTCGTCCCCGCCTCCCTAACCTGTCCCTCCTCCCACCTATCCCCTCCTCCCACCTCAAGCCCCACCCCCATCTCCTACCTACTAACCTCATCCCGCCCCCTTGACCTGTCTGTCCTTCCTGGACCGACCTATCTCCTCCCTAACTCCCCACCTACCCTCACCTTTACTGGCTCCATCCCCGCCTCTTTGACCTGTCTGTCTCCTCTCCACCTTTCTTCTCCTTTATCCATCTTTTATCCGCCTCCCCCTCTCTCCCTATTTATTTCAGAATCCCCTTCCCCTCCCCCATTTCTGAAGAAGGGTCTAGACCCGAAACGTCAGCTTTCCTGCTCCTCTGATGCTGCTTGGCCTGCTGTGTTCATCCAGCTCCACACCTTGTTATCTCAGATTCTCCAGCATCGGCAGTTCCTACTATCTCCAAAACAAAGTCTTCCTCTGCTCTGAGGAAGGGTCACCAGACCCGAAATGTTAACTCTGTTTTTCCTTCACAGATGCTACCAGACCTGCTGAGCTTTTCCAGCAACTTCTGCTTTTGTTCCTGATTTACAGCATCCGCAGTTCTTTCGGTTTTTATTTAATATGCTGGTAAATCTCTTCTGAATCCTCTCCAGATTAATAATATCCTTCCTGTAACTGGGTGACCAGAACTGGACACAATACTCCAGAAATGGCCTCATCAATGTTCTGTACAACCTCAATATGACTTCCGAATTCTTATACTCAAAGGACTGACGAAGGTGCCAAACACTTTTTTAACCACCCTGTCTATATGTGACGCAAACTTCAAAGAATTATGTCCCTGTACCCCTAGGTCCCTCTGTTCTACAAAACTACACAAGGCCCTACCACTAATTGTATAAGCCCTGTTTGTTGTGCCAAAACGGAATACCTCGCATTTATCCAGATTGAAGTCCATGTGCCATTTTTCAACCCATTGACCCATTTGATCAAGATCCCTTTGTACTCTTAGAAAAACCTTCTTTACTATCCAATATACCACCAATTTTGGTGTCGTCTGCAAACTAACTCACCGTGCCTTCTATATTTGAATCCAATTGTACAAATGACAAACAAAAGAGGACCCAGAACTGGTCACTGTGGGACACTGTTGGTGACAGGCCTCCAGTCTGAAAACCAACCCTCCACCGCCACTCTCTGTCTGCTGCTGTTAAACCAATTGGCAAGGATATCCAATCTCCCACATTCCTCATTCAAGGCCTTAATCAGGAACGTGCCAGATTCCAGCTCTGTCACATCCCACCAATCAGAGTAGGTTCCCATTGATTCCACTGTCTTCTCCACTTCCTGAATCCATGTGATCTAGTTTTTATGAATGATGTTGATACAAAATCTTCTGCATGTCCACATTTCAAAGGGATCCCTCACCTGCCTTATTAGTTTGTCTGTGATCAGTTGATACTGATTATTACATTACAACTGATCTCTCACTCCCTCCTGTTCTGTACATATGCTGACATCTCAGGTCATCTGCTTCCATACAACTGTCCAACCCTCAGCTCTAGGAGCACCAGGGAGTGAGGTGACTGGGATAGCCCTTGGCAATCTGGGAGAGAGGACTCCTTCAGCAAAGGGAATAGAGAAACATGAAGGGAATATTGGAAAGTTTTACCTGCAGTGGCTGGAGGAGTTGGTGGAAGAGATCCTTTCTTGCTGCTGTGATTGGAACCTGAGCAGCTGGAATGGAGGCTGTTGCTTCTTGAACATTTTTGCATTATTGCATTGCTGTGGACGGGTTTCGCTAAATCTGGTTCCTGCACAACCCTGGAATGTTCCTTCTGTGAAATAACTCAAAGCAGCAGAGAATGAAGAGCAAGATACATTTTCGGAGGAATGTTCAACTTATAATGCATTAAATTTCTGTAGAATTGAACAAAAAACAGTGAAGGTCAGGAACAGGCCATTCAGCCCACCAAGACTGTGCTGTGACACGTTGCCTCTGGGCAGTCCATATCCCTCTACGCCCTGCCTGTTCATGGATCTGTCAAGATGCCTCTTAAACATTACTATTGTATCTGTTTCTCGCAGCTCCACTGGCACCAGGATCGGGCATGGGAGAGATCGGGAGGGGCACACGGGAGGGGTTGGGTAAAGGGAGCTGGCGTGGGGAAGACGAAAGAGAGGGGGGAGAGAGAGAGAGAGAACAATCCAGATCCTGGACCCTCCTTTTCACCCCCAGCCCCTAGTAACTGGGCCCTCCCCCCCACCATCCCTCCTCCCCCCGCTGGGGGATCTCACAACCTCCACAAGTGATGTCTCCGCAATACTGAGGCCTCTGCATGGTGCTAGTGATGATGATGAACCAGGATATGTTCCTGAAGGAACTCCCTTGCACTGTTGCCCATACTTGTAGGTGAGAGCCTTTGATAAAATCTGGTCTCGTGGTGACTGCATAACCCCCGGAGGATTGTTATTGAAACCTCTCGGGTTCACTACAAGGAAGGAAAGCTGCCGCTGTGCCCCGGGGGACTGAGCACCCCCCCATCACCCTGCCCTGGGGGACTGACCCCCCCCTCATCC